CCTACATAAAAGCACTTCATCTTTCCCTTTCCTAGGCGATGTGGGATTGTGCACCCGTAACTCGCCAGTGTGGTAGCCTGTCAGTGTCTCGCACCCACCTACGGCACACCCGCCCATAGGGACATCACATTTGTAACAACATACTTCACCATATGGTATGATATTGTCCGCTTTATGCCTGAGCCCACACGGTTTTACTCTTGGGCTTTACCCCAAAAGGCCTCATACCAATTGAAGTGATACACCTACATATAAGCACTTCACCTTTTCATTTCCCAAGCGATGTGGGATTGTACACCCATAACTCGCCAGTGTGGTAGCCTGTCAGTGTTTCATACCCGCCCACAGAGACATCACAATCCACCCCCCTTGGAGGCCAGACGTCCCAGTCGGCACACTTCGGGCTGAGTCAGGTTCTAATACCATTTGTAACGACCCACTCCACCATATGGTATGATATTGTTCTCTTTGGGTCTGAGCCCGCACGGTTTTTTCTCCTGGGCTTTACTCCAAAAGGTCTCATACCAATTGGAGTAACACATCTACATATAAGTACTTCACTTTTCCTTTTCCCAGACGATGTGGGATTATACACCCGTAACTTGCCAGTGTGGTAGTCTGTTAGTATCTTGCACCCGCCCACGGTACACCTGGCCACAGAGGCATCACAATCCACCCCCCTTGGAGGCCCGATGTCCCCGTCGGCACACTTCCAGCTGGGTCAGGCTCTGATACCATTTGTAATAACCCACTCCATCATATGGTATGATATTGTTCGCTTTAGGCCTGAGCCCGCATGGTTTTTTCTCTTGGGCTTTACCCCAAAAGGCCTCATACCAATTGGAGTGACACACCTACATATAAGTACTTCACTTTTCCCTTTCCCAGACGATGTGGGATTGTGTACCCGTAACTCGCCAGTGTGGTAGCCTGTTAGTATCTCACACCCGCCCACAGAGACATCACACGTCACCTTTGATCGATCAAAGTTAAGTGTTTGATTGATCGAAGATCTTCGATCAATAGAATTGTTGGCAGTGTACTGTCTAATTCTTGAGCGCGTCGAATTCTACCTAATTTGTGTAGCTGCGAATTTCCTCCAATCATAGGTTGTATTTCTAACTTGGTGCCTACTCAAAGGGGAATGTAATGAATTAGTTGAACATCTATCTTGTAATATTGATAGAAGTAGATTTTTTTTAGTTTTCTCTCTAGAACTAGGGTTTTGGGAAGAAAGTAAAGATGAAAATGATGACGCCAACTTCCAAGTTAGCCCTTGAGGGTTCCATGACCACTACAATGAGTGGCTAAATCCTTCACTTGGGGCTAGAGATAGGCCCTAGGCTTGCTTCCTAAACCTAGCTTTTGTACATTTTTGGGGATTTTAGCTGTAATAAATGTTTTGACCTTGAATAAATATAGATATTGTGATTTCTACTTGATTTGTATGGATTAATACTTTCGATTGGTCATTTAGTTATATCCATATGTTTATGTATGCTAGAATGAATGTTCATGTGTTTTACTCTAGATTTAATGGAATTAATGCATGTCTGTGTGTATTGATGTTGTTAAACTAGTGATGGTCAAAGCATAGTACTTAATTGAATATTCTTGTGATTTATTTGATGGTTCACACTTGTTTCTTGATGGATTGTGCCACACTATTAGTTTAATTTTCTTGTCTCTAGCCTAAATGTAGTTTAATTGCTTTAATTTTTTAGATAGGTGGACAATTCATTCTTGTTTCTTGATGTTCCATACTTATGAGTGCAAATAGTACATTTCTCTAGATTATTGTGTGTGTTCTAATTATGATTAAATTGAATAGGTTATGGTCTCATTTGATAGGTTGTGCTATTCACTAGATTGACTAGGCAATCTATGCTTATTTGCCATCCATGCTTAGTTTTCAATTAGTGACACACACACACACACACACACACACACACACACACACATATTTTTACAATTTAAATGTCCCCATTAATTTACAATTACTATTGTTTGGTGAAGTGAAGTTTAGTGGTGAACTCTAAGCCCCAAGACCTCTCTCTCAATTATTTTCCCTCTAATTTCTAGATTGATAATTGCATTGATTTAATTGAACTTTAGTTTAATCAAATCCAATCTCTCTTTTGATCATTCGATCTACTAATCCAACAATTGATTCCAAAACACAACTCCTTTCCCTTGGGACGATCCCTACTCACTCTTGCTATATTTTAGCTAAAAGTGGTAGTGGCATTCTATAAATTTAAACTTAGCCACACTTTCATGCAACTCAGTTCGAGCGACACACCAATGTGATATGATGATGCTTCTGCTGTGTGTGATGAAAGAGGGATTTAACTCTCAACAATAGTTGACTGTTGAGTGGGTTGGAGGGAGTTGATTATCCCCAACAACTGGTAACAGTGCCGATGGTGGGTCAAAGCCTGTGATTAATCCTGAAGATCAATAGAAGAAGATTGCTGCGAAGTTTGTCAGAGCAGAAGATGATCGTGAGGTGCTATGGAGATTCAATCAGAGTTGATGATGACACGAAAGTATGAAGAAAGTGATGGTGTGAAGCCCATGAGGAACAAGTCTTGGGAGAAGCCGGAGGATGCTCGTTTTCAAGATGGGGCAAAGGTGATAGAGTTAAAGCCCACGAGGAACAAGGTTTGGGGACAAGCCAAGAGTGAGTGCTAATTCTCAAGATGGGGCAAAGGGTGTGAAGAATGAAGGGGTTTGCTCTAAGCCCGATAAAGAGCAAAGGGGAATATGAAGAGTGAAGATGAGAGGTTTGTTGCTTTGAGCCAAAAAAGTAATTGATGAGAATGAGTTAAAGATTGGTGGATTACCATGCGTGAGCAATTGAACACCAACGGGGTGGATAGAGAAATAGAAGAAAAAAAATAAAGAATGATGAATTTGAGAAAAGGTGGAAATTATTAGAGTGTTTCTCAAGTTCATCATAGTGTTTTATTTGAGGTGGAGAAATCTTCAGTTGAGGTGGAGCTATAAATATATCCTTGTTCGAGGTGGAACTATGGAGAAGCATGCGAAGATTGAATTTTAAGCCAAGGTGGAGATTGTTGGGTATGTGGCTCAAAATTTGTGTGCAAAAAAATAGTTTCCTTTTTCGTTTTGGAAGGTTGAAGGTTATATAGGAAAGTGTATCCCATTATGTTTCTATTTTAGAGTTTTGATCATTATGGTAACTTCTTGTAGGCAAGTTGAGGAATACTTGTCCAATAAGGAATTGAGTTTGAAGACTATAAATAGAGATGGGTGTGAGGGCTTGAGAGAGAAAGAGAGGAGAAAAAAGATGTAAGGAGTTTAAAGGTGAGTGTTATGAGGAGAGAAGTGAGCATATGTAATTCCCGAATGTATACATGTAGCCTCATAAGAGATGATGAGTGAGTGAGTGGGGTTTTAACATGTGGTTGTATATTCTCTTTCTTACTTCATAATAATGAAATCTCTTTCTCCCATAGACGTAACCCTAGAGTTGGGTGAACCATGTAAAATATTGTGTTGTGCATGGATGCGTGTGATTGTTATCTCCATATATACTTTTGTTGATGTGATGTGATGATACTTTCGTTGTGTGTAATGAAGGTGGGATTTAACTCCCAACAACAACCGACTGTTGAGTGGGTTGGAGAGAGTTAATTTTTCCCCAGCAGGGAGTCGCAAAGCTAAAGAGTAAACAGTGGGAAAATGGTACCTGATGGACAAAAAGTTACCCACATGTGCATAAAAAGTGGTACCTCTATTCTCAAAACAAAAGTGGTATATGCGTGCACAACAACTGATACTTATGTGTTTAAAAGTGTACCTCTATGAGGGTAAATAATGTTTTTTCATATTCACGTAATTATTTTGGTTAATTTCATTTTTTTTTTGAAATTATGAGATTTTGACTCAATCAAATGATAAATATGGATTATTAACACCATATATATATAATAATCTCTAAGAATATCACCAAAAACATTGCAGTAGTGGACGAAGTCAATGCCACTGCAAAAAGTGATAAGAAAGTTACAATTTTGTGGGACACCTATTCTACTGTGTTTGAAGACAATTACTCCCCCAGTCTCCAATTAAATGTCCCTTTTTATTTTTGACTGTTTCAAAATAAATGTCCCATTTAAAAAATTTAACTATATATATATATATATATATATATATATTATTGTTGTTTTTATTTATATTAACGTTACCATTTGCCACTCTATATAAACATTAGAGGGACTTGGATTCTCTAAGTTATCATAAGTTGAATTTTCTACAGAATGACATGTGTCAATTATGATATATCCATGACTTATGTTAAATCACTTTAGTTAATTTAATAAAAATTAGGAAATCATACCGTTTTAAGATAGAAAACCTTTAGAATACATTAACAACGTTATGATATGCTTAAGAGCTAATGATTGCAGAATCAATATTACATAGCTACACTTAATTTAATGCCTTTCTATTCAACCATTTATACTTCAATTTAAATCTAAATCTTGTATAAAAATGCATCTAGTTATTACCGGTCAAAGATTTTGTAGTTCTAAGTCTCTTTCCTATTGATATCATGGGAAACTATGCTAAAAAACTTAAATTTCACAAAATTCATCTAATGACACGGTATACTAATTAATTGAAAATTTACTCTTCAAGTTTTTTTAATCAAATCACCTTCTTCTTCCAAGTCAATACTATTATTTCAAAAAAAAGAGATAGGGAGTAATTTTTTTTTGGAGAAAAGAGGAGAGATTTTATAAGAGAGACGTCTTCATAAGGTTTTTTTTATCTTAAAATAATGTAATTTTTTAAATTTTATTAAATTAATTGATGTGATTTATTATAGGTGATAATTATATTTTAATGACATATGTTATTTAAGTAGAAAATTCTAACTTACGATAAGTTAGAAAAATGTTAAGCTGATCTAAGTGCACAAACCCATCCCTTGTCTTGACTTGGCTTGACTTGACCTGATCCCACAATCACCAATAAGGATTGAATGCCTGTTTCTTCCTGTGCAGCTCCTTTACAAAGGAAGAAAGAAAGAAATTACCACTGTACTCAAAGCATCCATCTGTTTTGATCGGCATTTCCTTACTTTCTCTCAACAAGAAGATCGAAATGGACAGCGATCGTCGGCTGGTTCCTGTTCCTAACCAAGCAGAAATCGAAGGAGCTTTCCAGCGTTTACAAGCAGAAGTTCCTCACAGCATTATCAATGAAATCCTGCAAAAATTGTCTTCTCCGGCTCTCAAGGAGCTGGGATTGGAATGGGGCCTCAAGGATGAGCTTGAGAAACTCGGAAACATAGTTTCCACAAGCGCACTTTATGCTGTGAATACGCTAATGGAAAACCAGGGTTTTGCTGGCTCGTTGACGGAGTTCATCGATGCAGTTTATGATGCGGATGACTTGGTTGATGACTTCTCCACTGAAGCTCTGCAGCGCAGAGTAGTGACTCAGAATAACTGGGCAAAGAAGGTACACGTTTTCTTTTCGAGCTCGAACCAACTTGCTTTTAGATTTAAGATGGGTCGTAAATTTAAGAAAAATAGGAAGACACTGTATGCAAAAAGCCCCATGCCCTCGCAACTTGATCAGAATAATATAATTAGTAGTAATATGTACAACAAGGGTGAGGAAATTAGCTCCTTTTTTATGTCTACTGCACAGAAAGAAGTTATTTTTGGGAGGGAGAAAGATAAATTGAAAATTGTGGAGAAGCTATTGGGCGAGGATGGGTTTGTTGTTTCGGTAATTGGAGAGGAGGGAATAGGCAAGACCGCAGTTGCGAAATTAGTATACAATGATGAGCAGGTCACTAATCATTTTCAACTCAAGATGTGGGTGTGTGTTTCTCATGCCTTTGATGTGAAAATCATTGCGAAAGAAATGATAGAATCTGCTATAGGAGGAGGAGGCAGAAGGAAATTACCTTCAAAACTACTTCATCATGATGTGGATGGAGTAGCACTGCAAGATCGCCTTAGGAAAGAAATTGATAGGAAAAGGTTTCTGCTTGTATTGGACGATGTACAGAATGAGGAAACTGATTCATGGCGACAACTAAAAGATCTTTTGGTGGGTGGTGAGAGGGGAAGTAAGATATTGCTAACTTCTCGCAATATTGAAGATGGTGCGTGGGCTGAAAGAGAAAGACCACACTTTACATATCGTTTAACCAAATTGTCGAATTATGAGTCCTGGTCTTTCATTAAAAAAATGGAAGTGTTTAAACAAAGAGAAGAGCAGGGTAATCTACATGAAGACATATATGTAACTGCTAACATAGTTCTTCCCATGTGTAAAGGCCTTCCTCTTGCCCTAAGGGCTTTACGAGGCCCACTACACACTCATGCAGATGATAAGTTGCTTGATGACCTCAAAAACCTTCAACATCAACATGATAAGTTACCAATGTTAAGGTTGAATTACAATTATCTTCCCTCGTATCTAAAGCGATGCTTTGAATTTTGTTCCTTATATACAAAAGGTCATGTCATTTATAAGAAAGACCTGATACAATTGTGGATTGCTCGGGGACTTGTTCAGCCGCTGGATAAAAATCCAGATCTGGAGGCTGTTGGAGATTTGTATTTTCAGGACTTGCTAAGGAAGTCCTTTTTTCAAGATGTTGAAAGAGATGAATGGGGTGACATAGTAAGTTGTAAAATGCATCCTCGTATCAATGACCTTGCAGCACTTGTTGCAGGAAAAGAGAATGTTGTGTTGCATCATGAGTACAATTCAACAATTCATCATGTGTCATATGATCCCTCTGAAGATTCGTCATTGGATATTCTTGCCCAATTGTGTGGAGCTAACAAGATACGGACATTTCTCTTACATGGTCAACGAGTAGGTTTTGGTGAGCCAACCAAATTAGTTTCTGATATATTGGAGCTATCAAGGTTGCGTGTGTTGGATCTCCATTGCTTGGGGATCAAGACGGTGCCAAGTTGCATAGGCAAGCTGCAATATTTGAGGTATCTTGATCTTTCGGAAAATTGTGCTATCAAGAGTCTGCCAAGTTCCATTACCACGTTGCAAAATTTGCAAACATTAAAACTCTCTTGTTGTTGTCATCTTGAAGAATTGCCAAGGGAGACTAAGAAACTGGTCAGCCTCAGGCATCTTGAGCTTGATGGATGTATTGGTTTGACTCATATGCCGTGTGGGTTAGGCCAGTTGACTTCTCTTCGGACATTAACATTCTTCATATTGGACCGAGAAAACATTGCCTCTAAGCTCAGTGGCGGTTTGAGTGAACTGAAAGGACTAAACAATCTACGGGGAGAGTTAATGATTGAGCGTTTGGGAAGACCGTGTTCAGCAAGCACAGCAACCGAAGAAGCCAAAATTGAGGGAGCAAACTACTTGAAGGGGAAACAACACCTTCAGTCACTGCAATTAAAATGGGCCAATGAAGTTGATGGTCTGCTCTTAACTCAGGCGCAGCTCAGTGCAGAAGATGATATTTTTGAAGCCCTCCAACCACACCCGAATTTGAAGAGGCTTTCAGTAGCCGGGTATGGGAATTTGAGTTTTCCAAGTTGGATGATGAATACTGGTTTACACCTCCCAAATTTAGTTAAAATTACTATTGCGGACTGTTCCAGATGCAAACAAATTCCAAAGTTCGGGCAGCTTCAATCTCTCCAAGTTCTTGAACTTTCTCAGTTGGTTTCCGTTGAGTACATAGACAACATCAGCAGTACTAATGCTGCTTTCGGAGGAGTTTCGGCAACATTCTTCCCATCCCTGAAAAAACTTCTACTCAATGGCTTGACTAATTTGAAGGGATGGTGGAGTTCTGAAGCAAAAGAACCAATAGCATTTCGTTCTCTTTCTGTATCAACCATCCAAAACTGTCCTAAGCTGGTATCACTGCCTCTGCATCCATGTGTTGAAGAATTAGATTTGATGCGGGTCAGCGAGAAGCTAGTACAACAGTTCACAATGATGGCAACCCCAACAATCCCAACAGATCCGATGTTACCCTCTTCATCATCTTCATCCTCTTCACCAGTTCCTGTTGCCAAATTGAAGTCTCTTTGTATTCAGTACATTGATGATCTAGTTATACTGCCACACAGGGCCATTGAAAGCCTCGCTTCTCTTCGTTTTCTTGAGATCTGTTGGTGTCCTAGACTAACTTCTCTCTCAGGAGTGATGTGGCATCTCACAGTGCTCGAGAAGCTGGAGATCAACGACTGCCCAATGCTTGATTTGTCAGGAAATGATAACGGCATGCAATTCCAACACCTAAGGAACCTAACTTCTTTGAAGATAAAACGAATACCAAAATTGGTATGTCTTCCAGTGGGGCTTCAACATGTTACCATTCTCAAATCTCTGGAGATTGAAAGGTGTGAAGGGTTGATTGCTTTAGGAGAGTGGATTGGTGAACTCAGGTCACTTCAACGACTTGTCATTTTTGATTGCCACAAATTGACATCACTGCCGAAAGGAATGCAACATCTAACAGCCCTCAGATCACTTGAAATTGATGGCTGTCAAGAGCTTGATTTGTCTGATGATGATGGTGGCATGAACTTTCAAGGCCTTCGGAATCTAAGTTCTCTGACGATCAAAAGAAGTCCAAAGTTGAAGTTTCTTCCTGAGGGTTTTCAGTATGATAGCTCTCTGAAGTTTCTAGAGATATATATTTGTGAAAATTTTACAGCTTTGCCTGACTGGATTGGGAATCTAACATCTCTGAAACAACTTTCCATTTACGGGTGTCCCAAATTGGCATCACTGCCCAAGGGGATTTATGGGCTAACTACATTAGAAGTACTGAGTATTCACAATTGTCACCACAGTTTATATGAAAGATGCCGCAAGGAAATAGAAGATTGGCGTAAGATTGCAAGCATCCCAAATGTTTCGCTGCGATGATTATGCTGACAACAAAAGTATGCCTTCTCATCTGAATTCTTTAAAGTCCATAATACTAATCTTGATCTTCTTTCTTATCATGGACTATTGCTTTCTTTGTTGAAGTTTAGTTGATTTTTGAACTACTATATGGAGCATACATTGCTAAAAGAAAAGGTGGTTTCAAAATCCATTCACAAGCGACATTTAGCTAGTAATATCCTCTGTTTTGTAATTTTTTATTTTTATTTTTAATTTTTTGTTATCTCAATAGAAATGAGTAAATCCTGATTCTCTTTTTGTGTGTGTAATTGCATGCGCACTTTTCAGAAATGCTGATGCACCAAGAAGAAGAGATACTGGGTTCGCTTTCTTGATCGTTGGGTCAATAAAGCAAAATTGAAATTGATATTATAGTGAGCACTATTATTCCCGGTACAAATTTCTTTTGACTGGTATTGTTTTTTATCAACCAAGATTATTGAAATAGTCCTTTTTAATAACTTTTTTCCTTGTCACGGGATATGCTGGTTTTCAGTTTGTGCACGAGCACATCATTGCCCATTGGGTATAGTTTTAAGATGTTTCTTCTCATCCGTTCTTTTCATTTTTATTTATTTATTTTGTCGTAACTTAATGGTGAAAGGCTTGCTGATCTATTTTCCTAGCTCTCTTTCTTTTGACTACAGCTTTAACAAACTTACTCTATCTATCCTTAAATGAACATCAATCGAGTCCCATCATAATAGTAATTACCATCATCACCATTACTACTTCATCAATATAGACCCTTGATCAGATGGATTCTTCATCAAGTTCACTTAAGCTGGAAGGTTATCTTTTGGAAGCTCCAGTTTTTGGGAAGTGCCAGGGTTAGGAGATTCAAATAAAATTAGCTAGGACTGGCAAGGATGTTCAACACACTCCATTTTGCAATAGGAATTGTTTTTCTTTCATTTCAATAAAATCAAGATTTTTTTATTTGCTAGTCTTTCTTAATATTTGTTGCTTAACTCTACCTTTTGTGGTAGATATCCTACCATTTGTTGGTTAACTCGACTTTTTGTGGTTAGATATCCCACCATGGTATTGGTACATCCTAATTGCTAGAGACCAGCGGTAATGTTTACTAGGAGGAGATGTGGGAAGTGAACCCGAATGTTACTTGCTATATAAATCCTAGTTGTAGTAAGAACTCCTGTTCCGAGTTTCCCATGCACCTGAAGTGCTAGAGACTGAGTCTGGACCTGTATAATGTATGGACTCAATAATCATTAGATCTTGACATGGTGAAGCTGAAAGGAGTCATTACATAATTTCGTGCCTAAGTTCACCACTAAGATTTGAAGAAGCTCCATCTAAAGATCTGATACTAAATGGTTCAAGAAACACTCATATTCATCTTTGGACCATGAGCATTTGATACACAGTCGAAAGAAATAATTGTATGGCCTTCAAAAAGCAGAACGAAAATGACTAACCTTTCTTTTGCAAAGAGCTAGTATTCATGAAGTAGGATCCATACACATCCATCTCACATGTGTAACTTCAAAAGATTCTCTTTCATGTCTAACAACATTTGATCACGCTGATATTGTTATTGTCGTAATTGTTATTCTTCTTTATTTTAATGTTTGTGTCTCTTTTCTAGTGGCTGGGGCTGAATCATCATGACACAACTGAGTCTCAGCAATTTGAGTGTTTCATTGTTCCTTCTGCTGATGAAAAATTTGAGTTGTTGGGCATGTAAGTTGCAAAATTTCTCAGATCTCAATCCTTTCAAATTTGCATGTTCTTTCTTGATTTACTGATTTCATTTTGCCTCTAGCGTGTCCAGTGTCTTTATCTTTGCTCCTGAAAGCTTCTTCGTTTTTCGAGGGTGACCACCCAAGTATTTGAAAGATGCAAGAGGTAATTGTGATATTGAAAATGTTTCATGTAATTGAACCCCGAATGGGCAATACTTGCTGCAATAATTTGTAGAATTCACTAAAATTAATTCCTTAGATCTGTTTCAAGAAACCTTATGGGAGATATTGCTTCTATAAATTGCTAAAAGTTGTGAGCTGTGCGACTTGCCTTGAGACATTCCAGAAAGCATATATTGCGGCTGGGACATTACATTAGAAAACAAAAAAGATATTGTAGTCACACCTTTGGTGTCTATGCAAATCCTATTCTTATTTTGTTTTGGCTCTGTTTTCCGCTGCCCATATCCGTTTTGATATGTGAAAGAATGCAAACTCGCAGCCACAAAGCTTTCACGATTCTTGGGTTGGGTTGATTACAACGAAGTTGTCTTGCAGGTGGCGGACTGATGGCTTTTCAAGTTGGGAACAGATTGATGGTGAAGGTGATTGGAAGGTCAATGAGCTAATCATTGGACAAAGATCCGAAAAATTCTCGGATTTTGTAGCAGCTTGCTCCAAACTTAATGTTGGTGTTATGAATGTTTTTAATCATATCTGTGTAATACCTTTGAATACTTCCAAATGTTACAAGATTTGCGTCTTTGTACCATTAAGGATGGAGTTGCTTAAGATGGTTTGTACTAATATTTTTGTTTCACTACTGCTACTAGAATTTGCTTTAAAAGTTTTCTTTTCCTTTTCATTTACACTTTCTTTTCTGAGAATATGTATGTAACGATCCTCACCTGGCTAGACACAATATTGTCCGCTTTTGGCTTTTGGCTCACCCAGATCAGAGACTTTTCAGGGGGTCACCCATCCTGGTACTACTCCAAGTTAAGCACGCTCAATTACAGAGTTCTGATGGGTTCACGGCCATCACGGTTTTAAAACGCGTTGTGTCATAGAAGGGTGTTGAATCTACATATAGCACTTGCCCCATCCACACCCAGACGATGTGGGATTGTGCACCTGTAGTTCGCCCAGTGTGGTAGCCTACTGGTGCCCCCTGTATACGTTCACACACACCCGCCCACAAGGTCGTCACAATCATCCCCCCTTTGGAGCCCAACGTCCTCGTTGGCCACACTTCCGGCTGGGTCAGGCTCTGATACCATTTGTAACGACCCTCACCTTGGCCAGACAAAATATTGTCCGCTTTTGGCTCACCCAGACCAGAGACTTCACAGGGGGTCACCCATCCTGGTACTACTCCAAGTTAAGCACGCTCAACTACAGAGTTCTGATAGGTTCACGGCCATCACGGCTTTAAAACGCGTTATATCATAGAAGGGTGTTGAATTTACATATAGCACTTCCCCATTCACACCCAGACGATGTGAGATTATGCACCTGTAGCTCGCCCAGTGTGGTAGCCTACTGGTGCCCCCTATACACGCTCACACACACCCACCCACAAGGTCACCACAATATATTTTTTAATCAACAAAAGAAAAAACCAAAAAGGTTGTAAGCAGTGTTAATTCGAATGTAAGACTGGAAGAACATGTTTGATTCAATTTTCTAAAAACAATTCTCAGTAATCAGCTTCTTAATAGGTTTTGTTGAAGCAAGATTATGTGGTGACCAGGAACAACGTATTTGCCAAGAACGACACAGTAATCCAAAGGGCATGGGCATGGTACTGGCCAAAAAATGGTTTCTGACTATTAAATTAGTATTAGATCGAAAGAAGAAGACAAAAAAAAAAATTACTAGGGAAATTATATCGTACCTTTTCAATTTTTTTTTTTTTAAACACCAGCAGCACAAAGAAACCAACATCGCCACACCACCAAAGCCTCTCACACCACCCCAAGGTCCTTCTGAATGGATGAAAGGAGCCAAGTTGGCCACACATCCCAAACCAGATCAGAACTCCTGCACTTCAAGGCTCGATGAGCTAAAGAGTGTGGAGCAACACTGTTACAAGAGTGAGGAACCCAAGAAAGACTGCATCCCTCCATGACACTAAGAATGGAAGCAATGTCTTCCAAAACAACAGAAACAAAAATAGAATTAGGCTTTAAAGACATCACCGATCTGCAGTCCCCTTCAAAAATAACTTTAGAGTAACCCCAAGCTTGAGCAAGCTTCAAACTCTCCCGAAGCACCAAAGCTTCAGCCAACTCCACATTACTCACATGACGAAAAAACAAGGAAGCAATCTATAAAGGTCTGCAAAGCTCATCTCTAAGGATAATATCACCCCCACACTCCAGAAAAATAGGAGAAAAAGAAGCATCCATATTAAGCTTTAAGAAACCCTAAGGGGGGGAGTCCACTGAGAAGGAACAGAACAAGGACTATCTAGGACTGGGGAGTAAACAACTTTAAACTTAGAAATGGCGTGAAATTCTGAGAGATCAGAAACCGCCAGAGAAACCACTTCGGCTGCGTCCCGACGAATATTCTTGAAGACCCCATCATTTCGCGCCTTCCATATATGCCAACACAACAAAGCTCCAAGGTTGCTCAACTCAACAGTATGATTACTATGGGACCATAAACTGGAAAGGTGGAGCCAAATCTGACTCCACTTTGTCAAGCTAGGATCAATAACCTCAATTCTTAGAGGGGAAATGTTCCATACCAACTGAGATAAGTGGCAGCGAAAAAGGAGATGGCAAACTGATTCCTCCTCTTCTCCACTAAAATAACAAGAAGGATCAACTTGAACACCTCGAGCATGAAGGTTAGCCCAGACGGGAATGCGTTCGTAACAACATTGCTAGAGAAAGAAAAGAATTTTACGTGGAACTTTAATTCGCCAAATGGCTTTCCACATGCCATTTCGTTCTTGAACATGACTTGAAGAAGGGTGGAGGAAGTCGGAGCCCTCCCCATTCGAAGAAACTTATATGCCGATTTAACAGAGAAATTCCCATTTGGGGAAGGACCCCAAGAAATGCGATCCGCCTCGCCGGAGAGACTAAGAGGAATTTGATGGATGAGATTAAAGTACCTCGTGTTGAAAAACTGGCGAATAAGGACACTATTCCAAGAAGTCCTGTTCTGAACCAACAACTTTTCAACCTTCTGAAATGGATGATTTGACAGGGAGGAAGAAACTTTGGGGCAAAACGCGTCGGGCAGCCAATTGTCCTTCCATATGTTGATTGATGAACCATTACCCACCCTCCATAAAAGAGCTCTCTGTAAAATCTTCTTCTTAGCAAAGATGCTTCGCCAACCCCATGAAGCATTAGATGGGCAACGAGATTCCAGGAACGACGAATCAGAAAAATATTTACCTTTGAAAATTGTGAAGAACAGAGAGTGGTCATTTGAAAGTTGGCCTTAAATCAACTTCCACCCAAATTTAGCAAGGAGAACAAGATTAAAATCTTCAATATCTCTGAAGCCAAGACCACCCTTAAATTTTGGTTCACACAGTGTCCCACTTTACCCAGTTAATCGTTTTGCCTTCCATCTTCCCACTCCACCAAAACAGACGAAGTTTATCAGAGATAGTTTTTGCTGTAGAAATGGGAATTCTGAAACTCTGAAGGGAAAAAGTAGGGAGAGCAGCAAGGACGGATTTAATCATAACCTCTCGCCCTGCCCGGGAATGGAAATCACCCTTGATAACTTTGAACTTTGCTTCCATCTTATCCAACAAAAATTTAAATGATTCTGTTTTGGATCTTTGGAGCATTGAGCGTAGCCCCAAATATCTATTTGCCCACCCCGAGTCACGAACCTGCAATATACTTCGAATCTGGGAGCGTTTATACCGATCTGTGTTGGGACTAAAAAATACGCCAGATTTAGAGAAATTAATTCTCTGACCTGATAAGAGGGAATAATGATTGAGCACCCCTATAAGATTGGAGGCTTCATCAATCTCGGCTTGACAAAACAAGATTGCATCATCCGTAAAGAGCATATGACTGACAGAAGGGACACCTCTCCCAATCCGCACCCCCTGAACAAGATCGATCCTCCCAGCATTTTTCAACATGAGACTCAGGCCCTCTGCACAAAGAAGGAAGAGGAACGGGGAAAGAGGATCGGAGACCCCTGGATGGATGAATAAGGCCGCCGGCTTCCCCATTGATCTTGATGGAAAAGGAAACAGAAGTGACACGAGCCATAATCAAAGAGACCCACTGAGAATGGAAACCAAAACCATGGAGCATACCTTCTAAAAATTGCCACTCAATACGATCATATGCTTTCTCCATATCCAGTTTGAATGCCAGGAATCCCTTCTTCCCTTCTTTCTTAGACTTCAGATAATGTATGAATTCATGACCCAGCAGAATATTCTGGTGAATAACCCGGTTAGGCATAAAGGCGGATTGGTGATCCGAAATAACAATATGCATCAGAGGCCGCAGATGATTAGCAATAACCTTAGAGAAAATTTTGTAGACAACATTGCAAAGGCTTATAGGACGAAAATGAGTCACATGGGTTGGGTTCTTCACCTTAGGAATCAGGATGATAATTGTGTGGTTTAAGCTTCGAAGCATCCTCCCCGTAAATAAAAGGTGGTTGAAACCCTCCAGCAAGTCATGTTTTAATACCTCCTAGAGTTTTTGAAAGAAAATTGGAGTGAACCCATCAGGAGGCCCTGGGGCTTTAAAGGGACCCATACAGAAAAGGGCAAGCTTCAGCTTCTCCTCAGTGCCTATCTTCAATAAGTCTCGATTCATATCAGGGATATCAACCGAGGAATGGACTGCCAGAAGGGGGATGAAAGATTAGCATGGGCTGAGGAAAACAAACTCCTGAATGATGTTCCACGATACCACGGACTTCCTCGTTGGTACTCAGCCAAGTTCCTCTATCATCTTCCAAGCCTGATATCTAATTTTTGCGTCAACGAATCACTGTCTTGCGATGAGAAAAAGAAGTATTCTTATCGCCTAAATTCAGCCATGAAATACGAGACTTTTGCTTCCAATAGACTTCCTCTCGTCTCCAGGCTTCTGCAAGATCTTTCTCAACACTGAAAATCTCCTGCCTTTTAAAACTTCCCCTGCTGGCCTTCAACTTCTCCATTTGGGTTTGGAGAAGATTGATATGTCGCCGAGAATTGTTAAAAAAACTTGTTTTATTCCACAATCTGAGTTTCACCTTGCATGTTTTTAGTTTCTCTTGGAGGCGAAAGAGTTGAGAACCGTGCACTGGGACGGACCAGGAATCACGGATAATCTGGGAACAGGCTTGGTAATTGATCCAGTAAGCATCAAAATGAAATTGTTTATTGTACCCAGCCATATTACCATTCAAGTGGAGCATCAAGACAAGGTGGTCAGACCCCAAAACTTGGAGGTGAAAAAGAGCATAATACGGAAAAGCTTGCTGCCATGCCGAGGAACAAAGACCTCTGTCCAATCTGGCCCATATAGTGTGAGGATTCTCTCTGTTATTGCACCAGGTAAACGGAAAGCCCTTAAACCCCATATCAATCAACCTGTAATTGACAAGAAAATCTCGAAAATCCTTTAAAGTCCAAGCCTGCAAGAAGTTACCTCATCGCTTTTCTTCTGGATAGAGCATAGCATTAAAATCACCAATAAGAATCCATTTAGAACATAACTTAGGTTGAAGACATTGAAGGTATCGCCATTGAGAAGCTCTAATGTTATCGTCACAGGAGGCATAAATGGCTGAAAATGACCAAGGGCCTGAATTTCCCCCTTCATTAATCGAACATGAAACCTGGAAATCCGAAAAATCCATCACTGAAATATCCAGGTCCCTGTCACGAAATAAGACCAGACCCCCTGCCGTTCCTCTTGGAGAAATAACAAACATAGTAAAATGACCCAAAGTTCTTCTCAAACTTTCAATCTTAACATCATGGTTTTTGGTTTCAAGTAAACATATCACTCTTGGAGAATGGAGATGAATTAATCTCCTCAATTGGGAAACTGTCCGGGGGTTCCCCACACCCTGACAGTTCCACACCGTAACTTTCATAGAGACTTTGGGGACCAGTTAAGGCTGGTCTCCTCCACCTTGTCAATAGGAAAATTATGTGAAAGTGTAACAAGAACGTGATTCGGAATAACACCTTGGGGTAAAAAAATGCCTTCTCTTACTACTGGAACCTGTGTGCATCTCGTAGATTTCAGAGTCGGAACCTTTTCGTTTGGATGGAACCGTCCCCGAAGAAGGTATCAATGAAGGGTCTGGATGCCAAGTCATTCTCTTCCAGTGCTTCTGGATGGATAAACCTTTGGATGAACGACTTGGGGATAAGGGCTTTGGAACGTTAAGAAGCGATACCTCAGGAGAACTGTGCGAAATAATTTCATCTTGGGAAACTTGAGCTTGTATCACATTAGAACTGTGTGAATTTGTGCTAGGAGACGATACAGCTTGAGGCAAACTAGAACACTTCGATAGCACAGTCATTTTGCCTGTCCAGTCATCGAACTGAAGTTCCGGGCTAAAAGGTAAATCATTAAGTGACTGAGATTTTTTCATAGCTTCAAACTGGGAGTAGTTTCTCATAGCACGGCTCAAGCATCCGCATATATAACAAAAAGATGGTAATCACTCATATTTGAAAGCGATCCACCGAAATTCGCCGTACATAACCACCGTCGTGCCTCGTAGAAGGGGTTGCCTTACATCCACAGGTACCCGAATACGAAGGAAGTGCTCACCGCCCTTCTTAACTCTGATTTCTACTGAATAAGGATGACCGAATAAAGCTGCAATTTGCTTTTCCACTTTCTTAGTAACTCCTTCCTGAGGAATATTCAATAGATGAATCCAGAAATCGACCTTGTGGAAGAGCGATTCGGCGATAACAAGAGTTGGGCGCTATGAAATCAGGATCAAAAGAAAATTCTCCAAATGCCACGGTCCCGTGTCCAGCACCCTATGAAGGATGGCTGCATCAGTGAAGAGAAATTGGTAAATATAAGTCAAAATTTTAACAATTTGTAGAGATTGCGTACCCCAAAGATTGACAAGAGTACTTCACATACGTCCCAAATTTAAGTCTTTCTCAGTTAAGATTTTGCCCAGTAGACTATTAGAATACCGTTGAATTCCTTCGTGCATATCATCTGCTGTAATGGTAATCCGGTTATCCTCTTTAGCGGTGAGGGTAAACCCACTCATTTGAACAAGCAACTAATCATTCATCGTGAAGTGAAAAAAAAAAAAAAAAAAAAAAAAAAAAAAAAAAAAAAAAAAGGGAAAGGAAAAACAAGATGGAAAAAAAAGGGAAAGTTTTTCAATTCACTCACCACCATTTTTATCGGGGTTGGTACAAGCATTTATGTAAAATTATACTCGTAATTAATTGTGCCAAACATTAATTACAAATAAATATATTATAATATTGGTTTGTCAAAAATTCCTGAGTACTTTTAGCAATTAATCCCCTCAGCCATCATGTGAGAGGGTCATTTTGTGTGATAAAATTTTCAGACGAAATTATTCTTAAAATCAAAACAATACATTAGTATTATTAGAGTACCCACCACTCATTTTATTTTTATTTTTTTAGCTGCATAAAATATTGAAACGAGGCCTCTTATTTTGAAACAAGTCCTTTGATTTTTTCTTTCGAAATATTCTTGCATTTGGAATATATATAGTAATATGGTAATTATTTTTCATATGTCAACTTAAATTGATTTTGGTGTAAAAAAGAAAAAACCAATACCATGATTTTTTATAAACTAAGATAAAGAAAGAGATATATATACGAAAGATCAAAAAATATCAGTCTCATGATTTTTTATAAAATTTAAAAGTAGAAATTTATAAGATTTTAAAAAATTATGGATATAACATACCCAAAAAAAATCCAATAGCGTCCACTATAATATCAAAACAAAACCCCCCTCCCCCACCCCCCAAAACGTATTTCACACTTATTTTTTATTTGTTTATAGTCAAAAGATATTTCACTTAAACATTAACAAATATTTGTTTGGACTATCTTTAATTATTTATTTATTCTGTAGAAAAAACAATTATTATGACATAAAATTTGATTTATTTCAACATCATAAATCTTAATCCCAATACTTTTCTATTAAATTGTGATATGCTACCCACACACACACACACATATATATATAAATGAAAAAAGTCACTTCCTCCAAATTATGAGATTATTTTGCCACATAGTTTGATAAATTTCTACTTTTAAATTTTATAAAAAATCATGGTACTGATATTTTTGGATCTTTCATATATATCTCTTTCTTTATCTTATTTCATAAAAAATTATGGTACAAGTTTTTTATTTATATATATATATATATATATATATATATATATATATAAATAAAAAACTTGTACCATAATTTTTTATGAAATAAGATAAAGAAAGAGATATATATGAAAGATCAAAATCAATTTAAGTTGACATTTGATAAATAAGTACCATATTACTATATATATTCCAAATGCAAGAACATTTCCAAAGAAAAAATCAAAGGCCTCGTTTTAGTGTTTTATGTAGTTAAAAAAAAAAGAAAAAGTGAGTGGTTGGTACTTTAGTAATACTAATGTATGGTTTTGATTTTAAGGGTAATTTCTTCTGAAAATTTTATCACACAATCACTCAAACGGATGTTTCATGTCAAGGGTAATTTTGTCTAAAAATTTTCCTCAGACAATCACTCTAAAAGAGATTAGTTAAAGTAACCCCCTCATGATAGTTGAGGGGGGCTAATTGCTAAAGATATTCATAAGGGGGGTTTTTGGCAAACGGGTGAAAGTCGATTTGGGATTTTTTGCAATTCGCCTTATAATATTTGTGCGAGAACGTTATACACATTATAATTCTAGAAAATAGAAATTCATTATTTTCATATATATATATATATATAATGTATAAATAAATAGTTAAATATAAATACCTCCATCCATGATAGCAAACCTCGTAGAGATCAAGTCAAATGTCGAGATCCTTTATGGGAACAACTCCAAAACAATAGTCGAAGCTTGGAAATTAATTTATCTCTCTTACCTTTTTGCACATATAAATATTATAATGTGTTTCATCAATGTACATAATTGATGGAATAGTGTTTAGTGTTTGAGTTTTGATGTGTAGTATAACCATGTGGTCATCATTCTTTTGAGGGCGTGTTATGTCATGAGCATATGGGTGCAAATGACATTGGGATGGAGCCATTTTTGGCAGAGGCTATTGTGTGCGTTGTGTCGTGAGCACATGGGTGCAAGTGACATTGGTTTGTGCATTTTCTTTCAATTTTGGGATCGCGGATGTACTGTGTTGTGTGGGATACTCGGAGGTGCACTCTGTATTTATCCTGAGTTGGCCTTCTGTTTTGTCAAGGTTGGATTCGGGGACGAAATCCTTTTTTAGGTAGGGAGGTTGTGATGACCGTGCCATCTTTTCTTTTTCTGATATATATATATATATATATATATATATATATATATATATTATTTATTATAATTATTTTAAATATTTTATTAATTAATTATTAATATTATTATTATTTTATTTTATTATTTTTATTAC